CAACAAAATGCTTCATAATAAATTCACAAATTGGGAAAAATTTCGCAACACACTAAATGAACGAACAAATCTTAAAATGCGATTGAAAATGAAGAAGATATCGATAAATCAATATACGACTTAATTCTTAACATTCAGGATTCAGTGGTACAAGCAACTCCAGAATTACATTTTCGTGAAGTGCAAGATATCCCGCTGGAAATAAAAAATCTAATACAGGAGAAAAGGAGGGCAAGAGCAAAATGGCAACGTTATCACAAGCCAGAAGACAAAACTCAATTTAATAAATTATGCCGATTGCTCAAAGCAAAATTAAAACTAGCCACTTCCGAAAATTTTGAAATATATATTTTAAGCCTGTCTAAAACGGACAATACTATCTAGCAGCGAATTCGGAATATTAAAAAACCAAAAATTCCAGCACCACCAATTAGAGAAGATATAAATAAACCTTGGCAATAAGTGATCTCGAAAAGGCACTGCTTTTTGCCAAACATTTAACCTCAGTATTTCTGCCTTTCGACAATTCTATGGATACTGAAATAGCGAAAGAATACATAAATCAATAGAAATGGTGGAAGCTAAAACCCCTGTTAAACCGAAGGAAGTCAGCTATGAAATAAATAATCTAAAAGCAAAAATATCTTCGGGCTATGATTTAATAGGTGGCAAAATCATTAAAGAAATTCCAAGGAAAACAATTATTGCAATTACATATATATTCAACGCTATACTCAGGATTGGTTACTGGCCAAACCACTTTAAGAATGCATAAATTATAATGATACTCAAACCATGTAAAAATCCAACGGATGTTTCGTCATACAGACCTATCAGCTTGCTTCCTATAATTTCCAAATTTTTTTTTATTAACTCTTTTATTTACAACTGTCCAGTAAAGGACATTTAGTAAATTTAATGAATTTACAATAGTCCGCCGAGAAGGGACATTGTCATGTTGGAAAAAACAACTCAGTAGTTGTTTTTCCTTTCTATATAAAATTCACAATATTTTATTATTGAATAATTACTTATCAATAATGATTAAGTTATTTCTATTTTTTTTTTCTCAAAAGGGTTGATGGCTTAGATCCAATGGCGCTTTTCTTTTCAATCTTCTTCGATAGTTCTCTGTTATCATTGAGTTTGCTAATGTATTTGGGTGATTGATTAGCTTGTTTCTATACTTCTGCGCTGTTTTTGTTATTACTTCATTAATGGTAGGTGTATTCGTATCGGCATGAATCAACCAGTTGGGAATATATTTTGGAGCTCCTAAGGCAATTTTCAAAAATTTATTTTGAAATTTCGGTATAATTTCTATATTAGTCTTATGAGCACTGCCCCACAATTGCCCCAAAATACTGGAAAAAATAATATATAATAAAATTAAATATGATTTGCCGATAGACAATTGGATGCCGCCACATTAGTTCGGGTTCAGACATAAACACTCAACGACTTAACAAATCCATAGAATTGTTGAAAATATTAATAAAACATTTGAACAAAAGGAATATTGCAGTGTCATTTTCTTGGACGTTCGTCAGGCCTTTGATAAGGTATGGCATCCTGGGTTGTTATATAAAATCATATTTAGAAAACAGATCATTCCAGATTAGAGTGAACGTTGAACAGATTTCTGTAAAATAGGGTCAGGTGTCCCGCAGGGTAGCATCCTGGGACCATTATTATATGTATTATTCACAATAGATATACCAATACCTCCTAACTCTATTATAGCTACATTTGCAGACGACACTGCTATCTTATTCAGAAATAAAAATCCTCTATTAGCATCTCAACTGACTCAAAATTATATCTACATATTAGAGAAATGGCTAAACAAATGGTACATACGGATTAACGAATCAAAATCTGCGCACATAACATTCACGTTGTGTCAAAAAAATTGTCCTTCTGTATATTTAAACAACATCATGATCCGACAAGTACAAGTAGTAAAATATCTGGGACTCCATCTAGAGTCTAGACAGAAGACTCACGTGGAAAGAACATATAAAAAAGAAAAAGGAACAAATTCTACTAAAATGAAGGGGATGAATTGGTTACTTAGCAGACAGTCCAAACTATCCGTCGAAAACAAACTACTGCTATACAAGGCCATCATTAAGCCAATATGGACCTATGGTCTAGAGCTGTGGTGATGCGCCTTTAAATCTAATCTGGAAATTGTGCAGAGAACACAAACTAAAATCTTAAGAGCCATCCTCAACTCACCCTGGTATGTCACTAATCAAAATTGTCTATGGCGACCTAAAAATGCTGACTGTGCACGAAACATATAAAGGAATTATCATCAAAATACCGTAACAGATTGGAGATGCACCCAAATGAATCGATAAAGGATTTACTGCGCCCTCAACAAAACTCAAGATTGAAGAGAAAGTGGACTTTACATAGTATTTAAGTACAATCATTAGTTATATATATATATATATATATATATATATATATATATAAATATATTAAGTAACATAATGTAATATAGATCTGTGGATCCTATCTTATTTTAACACCCACATAGTTCGCAGTTTAGCTTATAGAAAAATTGTAGTTTTCTGATTGCTAAATAAATCTATTACAAAAAAAAAAATCTTCCTCGATCATTAACTGAATTGGCCAAAACGTACTACTAGAGCTTTAGTTTTATTCAATTTTTATTTAATTTTTTTTAATTAAACCGCTTCCCATAGGACTCTTATATTTAAAGGTGTTCGGTTTGTCCATCAACTCTACAACTATGCGAAGTTTCATCAAAATCCCAAAAGAGTAAAAAACCTGATGGTTACCTTGTAAGGGAGCTTGCCATTTTGAATACCAAAATGGACCAATTACTTCACAATTCAAGTTGTTCTACATTGACATCTAATCAACATGGTAATGTTTTCGATTCCTTATTTCCGCTTGGTGCCGAAGACGATATTACATGCTGTGAAGAATTAAAAAAAAAATGAATCATATGTCGCAGAATTGGTAAACTATAATTGCATCTTGAGAGATATTGAAATAGAATAATTTGGTAGTAATTATGTTTTAATGTTTTGTTTTTAGAAAAGCTATGTTAGAAAAATTGGTGAAATAACTTCTGCAGAAAATATGTATGTTCATGGTATGTTCCTGGTATGGCCGAAAAAGTAATATGCCAGTAAACAAACTGAAAACAATGAAAGTTTTTAAAGGTAATTTAGCTATAATTTATTTCAATTAATGTTTCTAATCCCTGTTCGGTTTTATTTTAGACAATAATTAACAACACTCCTGGATTTACTAAAGCTAATTTTGTTCAAATAGCTGTAGAATGGTTTCGCTTTGGGAAACAAAGACTGCAAAGAGAGCAAAACAGGAGAGCCATAATAATATCTTAATTTATATAAATTTAGTGTCACAGGCGTTGTCCTCGATGAACGCCTGAACCGATTTAAAATTTGCTTTGCTCACCATGTGCACATAGATCCCATTTAGGACATAGGGTATATTAAAAATCTCAATAAATAGCCGAAATTTTATATTATTTAATTAAAAAATATTTTGACATTTTACCATAGTTTGAATTCTGTCGAGAGTCTACAACTCTAGACCAAAGACAATACAGCAAGGAATGCAACGAATGAATAACGATTCCATGCGTTTCTATGAGATATAGTGACGGTTGGTACTTGGTAACACTGCATCATTATTGGTGTTTATTAATGGAAGCGTTTATAAAATCAAATTTGCTTGAAGATCATTCTGCTTATTGAAAGAAAAGTTTTAGCAGAGAATATTACGATTCATGGTATATATGTTCATATATTGAACAGCGTCATTTTATTACACGATACAAATCAGGCATTATAACAAAATTCATCATTGTCCTAACAGCAACTAACTCTAATAATAACTAAATCTAATAAAGCACAGTGGTAAAATTCTTCAAATGACTACTATGGATGATTAACGTGCAGTTGATTCTGATTATTATTAATTAAGGTAATTGTATTGATGGTGCACTATTGAGTCTATTGAAAAATAACCATGTAAGTATTAAACCATAGAAGTGTTTGATAGTAAATTCATCAAGCAGAAAACTACAATGAATAAAATGTGTTAATATTACAGCCTGCAACAGATTGTGTTAATATCAAAGCCCAAGATTATCGAAGGCATCAAACATGCCCCAATATTTTCAGGCAATGAACTTAAGAAATAAAACAGAAGCCATGTACCGCAAGAAAGTTTTAAATGAGAAGTATGATTGGCATTTGCGATGACTATCACCAAGGCTCAGGGGCAAACAATGCCCGTTTTCGGACTTGAATTAGAAAATCAATGTTTTTTACACAGGTAATTATAAGTTGACCAAAGAGGATTTGGTCAAAAATATTGTTCATCAATTAGTTTTAATCTAGATTTATAAAAGCATATATCATTCAGTAAAAATAAAGGTGGTGACGCTACTATGACTATTACATGAGTCGATAATAATAAAGTCGCCATCTCGGGGTCGCAATATGTCAACCGATTTATTCCATTCTAATCCAGTCTTTTCCTTCCAAAACTTTGACCTAGACTTCCGACATGTGTTCAGTCTATTCTAGTTGATTCCTAGTTCTGTTTCGTTCTAGTGCGTTTCCAGTTCCGTATTCAATTCGTATTCAGTTTGCTTTCTTCTTTGGTTTAATTTAGAAGCTTTATTGTGTTAAGTTTCCTTTTATCATTTAAAGTGAGGTCATTTTTTAGTTTCTCATTATAAGAAAACAGAACGTTTTTTAGTTTCAAATACAGTCCATATACAGTCCAAGAATACCAGCCATCCGTGTGGTCTGCTAATCGAATCAAGGCCACACCATTCGAGCCGGATCTCAATTAAGATTGAGAGTTTCTATAAGTTGCCGATTCAGAATCTAAGTACTAATTTAAAAGTATATATATATTTTCATTTACCGGATAACGACGTAAGATTATTATATTTCCAAGTTTCTTATATAATCATAAACATGCCGCCCAAGAGTGTATCTGCCAGTGCTGAAGTCGCACGACTAATTTCAAAACGAGAAATGTATTTTTCGATTATACAGAAGACGTATGACTTGAGCAGAGATGTGGAAGATGCGTCAAGCAAGCAACAATTCTGTACGAACCTGGTAATGTTAGATAACATTCGAGATCAATTCATAAAACTTACCGACCATATTAATAAATTAAACGCGTTGGAAAATCCCAGTTTCGTACCGGATTATGCTGCCCTTCTATCCGTGGAACAATTATACGCGGAGATAAAATATATTGAAAAAACTATTTCTGCTGTAAATAATATTCCTCTTTTATAAAAAGTGAAGATTCCCCATCTAAATTTATTTCAAAATGCCGTCTACCAACAATTGAAATACCCAAATTTGCGGGTGATTTAAAAAAATGGCCGCTGTTTTACGAAACATTTAAAACACTTATACACGAGAATCCCGAAATTGATATGATATCCAAATTTCATTATTTAATGGGCGTATTAGAAGACCCAGTAATGAAAATTTTATATATCTATAGTCAGTGGTTACAAAATATTCCGTAATGATACGTTTCAAATATGCGCCAACGCATTTGTGAACGGCGTAACTAGCGGTTTCTAACATATAGTAAATTATTGTTCTATGATGGAGTTGGCAACACTTGATCCGGATCTCTGGACACGTCCGTTCAGAACACATGGTCTTTTCCATTTATAGTTTTGTACGATATATTGGTGCACGTAATAAGATAAAGTTTGCTTTATTATTAATTATTATTTGATTAATATAACTCATTTATTCTCCCTGGTAAGTTAGCGTTAACATTAATATTTTCAAGTGTTTTATTATATTTTATTAACAAATGTGTACTTATTCCAGTGTAATGTGTGTAGTTTTATTATTTTTTGTTAACAAACGCGTATTTATTTCAGCGCTTTGTATTCAGTATGTCTGTTTCAAAACCAAGTGGTAGTAAAATTAAACGAAAGATCGGTGACGAACATAGAATGTTCCAATCAAAATGGAAATTGGAATATTTTTGCTGTGAAATAAATGATAAAATAATGTGTTTGGTATGTAACAATACTATTAATGTACCAAAGTTATATAATATTAAACGCCATTACAAGCAACACCAGTTAAAATAGGAAAATTATGAAGGTATAATTAGAGAAGAAAAGTTAAAAAAACTCAAGTCAGAGATGAAAAAACAACAGTTAATTTTGTATTAAAGTATTCCATGAAAGTGAAGCGGCGGTAAATGCAAGCTACGCCTTGTCCGAGATGATAGCTAGACACTTGAACCCTTTTAATGACGGTGATTTCATCAAGGAATGCTTAATTAAAGCTGCAGAAATTGTTTGTCCGGGCAATGTGACGGCATTTGAAAGTATTTCATCGCCTCGGAACACAGTTGCAGAACAAATTACTGACTTAGCCGCAATGATCAATTCAATCAATTGATCACTCAAGATCAAATAAAAAATAGATCACTTACTTTCGAAAGCTTTCCTATTGCCTGTGACGGGACCACGGATATCAGTGGCACGGCTCAGCTAGCAGTGTTTCTTCGTGCATGTGACAGCACTTTTAACATATTTGATGAATTGCTAGAACTAATTCCGATGGCTGGTACTACCACAGGACAAGATATATTTACTTGCGTTTTTGATATGTTCCAGAAATTTAATCTACCTTCAGAAAAATTACTTTCTGTAGCTACAGACGGCGCTCCATCAATGGCAGGGAAAAACAAAGGATTCGTAGCGTTACTTAAACAGAAACTTAATGGAGTTAACGGTTCAAATTTTTATCATACCCATTGCATCTTATATCAAGAAGTACTGTGCTCGAAGATAATAAACATGGAGAATGTTCTATCATACATGAAGAAAATTGTAAATTTTATAGATCTCGGGATTAAATCAGCGTCAATTACAGTTTTTTAAGCGATTTTGATAGTAACTATACGGTTATTATTGCTCCAAAGTTCTAGAATAATTCTGGGGTTTGAAAGGAAAAATATGCAAGTTCATAGAAATAAAAAAATCTAGACACAAGTTTGTTTTTTGATCCAGTATGGATATGAGATTTATCATTCTTGGTTGATATAACTAAACACCTATGTGACCTAAATTTATCATTGCAGGGAAAAGGCAATCTTATAACAAACATTGTTCGACATAATTTAAGCTTTTAAACGCAAACTTGCCCTTTGGGAAAAAAACAGCTCAAGAGTGAAAATTGACACACTTTCCGATGCGCAGCTTAAATAAATCAAGCTTGGATGTTACTTCTTCATATAAAAACTATGCAGAAAACATTGCTAATTTAAAACGGAACTAAAATCGTGAAATGAAGTTTCAAGATTTTAGTTCACTCAAAGGCAATTTTTTTTGTTCTTTTCGAACTTTTCTGTAGATATAGTTCAGTACCCAGCAACATGTAAATGGAGGTAATCGAAATTCAATTGAAAACCAAATTTATTGAAGTGGGCGTACCTAAATTTTATAAATATTTACCAGTCAGATTTGAAAATACTAGGAAATTTGCTTATGATATTAATTCTATTTGGCAGTACATATCGATGCGAGCAATTATTTACAATTATGAATAGTAATAGTGCACAAACCACCTTGGGTCAATATGAAATCATTACTGCAAGCCAAATTTCTCCAGAATAGAAAAACTAATTGCAGCAAAGAGATGTCAAGTATCTGGGCGTAAACATTAAGTTTCCGTTACAATTATTATTCATTAAATATAATTATATTAATATGTTCATTACAGTGTATTATTGTTTAAAATATATATGCGTATTTATTTTAATGTATTTTTATTATCATATGAATTTAATATGTTTATTACAGTGTATTATTATTCAAAATATATATGTATGTTCATTGCTACTATCAATGTTTCCAGTAGAAGGTGACTTCAACGCTCAACATGCAAAGTGGAAATGTAGAGGAAATAATAACAGCGGCAAAAAACTGTGCAAATATATTAATAATACAGTGAATAATGTTCAGCTGCATTATCCAGATACTCCTACTAGATTTGCTCAATGTGTGCATCATAATAATAGTATTATAATATTAATCTGGCTTTATCGAAAATGTATAACAACTCAACCGACATCTTTGCCATGTCTAAATTCGGACCATAATCCAGTCTTCTTACAAATAAATAGCAAATTAACCGTCTACGAGTCCGACAATACAAATTATTTAAACTACACAAAAGCCAATTGGATCCTATTTAAAAAATTAATAAACTTAAATATCAATCACAGAATGCAAATAACTGAAAAAGAAGACTTAAGTAAAGCAGTCGAACACTTAACATGCACGATAAATAACACTATAAATTAACTATTCCTTTTAGTAATCTACAACAATATACTGATGACAGATTACCGCAAGACATAATAAATAAAATAACATTCAAAAATAAAGTTAAAAAACTTTGGCAAGTTTCCGGAAATCAACTCCTAAATCCCATGTGAATAAGCTAACAAATATAATCCAAGTAGAAGTATGGGAATATCGCAATAAATGCTGGACTGACAAACTGACCAATAAATACATATCCTAATAATCAGTTCAGCTTGGGCGGCGAACAGTTCACATCGAAGTGTTTACATTTAAATACTACGGTATCAATTCATGCTAATAGTTTTGTTATCAGTGCATTCAATACATTATAAAGTAAACAGGTAATAAATTGCGTAACATGTCCCTCTCGGTGGGGACATAGTGTCGCATTCATAAGTTTGAAACAGTGTTTACAATTGTGTAGTGCATAAAATTCTGAAATAATGGTTAAATCAACTAGTGCTACAAAAAATCGTCTTGTGCAATCATTAAAGATTTTAGATGACGATTCAACTACAAATTCTAGATTTGTCGAAAGTCATATATCGCCAAAATTCCGAAACACACCAACAGCGCCGTGCTGTACAAAAAATTAATGACGTCGAAAGTCAAATGAAAAAATGAATCAATTGATAGAAACCAATTTATACCAAATCAAATGAAGCCGTGCCAGTGCCGAAATTATTAGTGATTGGAGACTGTGGTGAATAATAAAAACATAAACAGATCGACACAGAAACACCATCATGTTCCAAAAAAGTCGTAACGAAAGACTACTGGCTCAAAGCTACTACTACAAACCAGCAATTTACGCAGTTTTAGAAAACACATCCGATTAAAATTCACCATGTCAAAACACACAAGTACAAAATAAAAGACCGACCAAACCTCCGCCAATTTTGTACACGAAGTGGGGGATATTAAGCGATTGATAGAACTGTTAGAAAGCGAAGCCACTACAATACACACTAAAAACTATAGGAATAAAACAAGTGAAAATAAATCTCAAAGTGCACAAACTATAAACTTACAATAACAAACTGAAAGAAAAGGAACGCAGATGCATTCCTATCAAGGACAAGTTCAAAACGGTTATTTAAAGTCGTGGTTAAAACCTACACTATAGCACCGACTTAGACATGCTGACAAAAGAAATAGAAGAACTAGAGCATAAGTTGTACACATCTCTTTTCTCAGAAGCAAATATACAAATTCCCACTGCAGCAAAAAGAAAATAACAAAGATTTTTACAAAATTGAATTTTTATGTAAAACCTAAGTCGAAATTCAAGATAAACGATATTCTTGCGAAATAGTCCAGTGCACACGTTGTCAAAGGCTAGGACATACACGAAAATTTTTGCTACAGAAACTCCCCCAGCGTGAATGCGCTCAGGAACACCTAACTAAAAATGCTCATGGACAGACAAAATAAATAGCGGAGTAGCATG